CGAATTCGTGCCTTTACTTCTCCCAGCGCTTTGAGGTGGTCCGTTTCTGGACGGCGTCTGTTGTTGTTGCTGTAGGTGGTGCTGTGATTGTTGCTGCTGTTGCTGTTCCTGTTGTTGTTGCTGCTGCTGGGACTCAACTTCTTGTACATGGTTCAGGAAGTTGATTTCGTCTGTCAAAAAGTCCTTCTCCGTCCAACAACCCTGCCAGCAGTTTCGCCAGTCCAGAATAAGGAATTGGAAGCAAAAGGCGTCGATCTTGATAGCCGGCTGGAAACAGATGCACAGGTTGTTGTAGTTCATCTTGTTGAATTCGGAACATGAGTGCAACAGGCTGATGTGGCAGGTAATCGCGAACAATAGGTAGTAGTTAAATGGTGGGAGCTTGGAGAGCTCATCCTTGAGCATTTGCGGCGTCGTCTTGGCGCCCTGGCATTCTTGCTGGATTGCCGTCTGGACCGCTTTTGGAAAGATTTCGTCTGGCAGTTGTCGGAGCCAGTTCTTGAAGAGTGAGCCGATGACGTTGGGGTCGTTCAGGTTGGGATCGCTGATCAAGTCGATGTCTCGGTCTGTGGCTTGGTGAGCAACTGTCGTGGAAATGACTGAGATAGTCCTACCTTCATCGAATTTGCGTTCGTAATATCGGACCTGCTGGGCTGACCCAGGAACGCGGTACAAGCCTTCCTCTTCACAGCCCCGCATGTTCAGGTAGCTAAAGTGGTTATTAGCCTCACAGGTGGAGAACGAATCGAAGCATGACCTACTCTATGCACCGCCAAGGTAAAGCTGGCATCCAGAACTCAGTCTTGTCGCGTGACTGTTCCAAACGGGTCGATATCCGTGTCAGCCTCGTCTGTTCGATCAGGGGCTTGTGAATGATTTTGCACACGTAAGGTTCATTCGATATCGGCGTCTGGCTCTCGTGGTTGCTTGAGCTTCGTCCAAGTTTGCCGAATACGCCCTTGCGGGCAGAGTCCATCTTCTCCCCCATGTTGCGAGCACCTGAACCAAGTTTCGAGATGAAGCCGTGTCCCTTGGTCTCGTTGTACGAGCTGGAGGCTAGCGATATCTGCTCCGACTTGTCTCTTCGTGGCCCATTGTCGACATCCCGTGGGATCTGCTTGGAGCTATCCTGACGATCTGCCGAGTGTGTTCGTGGCTTGCCTATGCCTCGCCAAGATTGACCTTTGTCCATGGGTGCCGGCTTCAATGGCGGCCCATCACCATTCGTCGTCCACGAACCTCCAATATCTGGTGACAGTTGCCCTGGCGGCGCCTTGTTCAGTTTTGCACGGGTACCTGAGCTCTCGCCGTCTTTGATGGATTTCGACCTGTTCAGAATGCCCTTCTTCGGTTTGATAGTGTTGCGCTTTGAGGAGTCGGCGTGGGGATCGGAGGAGTCGTTGGAGTTGCCTGAGCCTGTCCGTAATACCTCGGAGCGGTTGTCTGTGGCAGTTAGCGACACGCTGTTTGTCTGGGCTACTGTAGCCATACCATCCGAGTTGGGGGTGCGCACGGGGCGGCCGAGGTCTGGTGTCGAAGCCCCGCTGCGCCCGTTGGAGTATAGACTGGGCGAGTGTTGTTGTTCAGGAAGCTGCCGTATCGAGTTTCCCTGGCTGTTAAGGCGTGACGACGATTTGTTGGCGCTGAAGTTGGAGAAGATGCTCTTGGAGTCTTTGCGAGGCTTCGGTGAGGCTGGTGACTGTGGCATGCTATGAAACGAGGCATTGGGAGCGGCATAGTCCAGGTCCTCAGGCATATCTGGCGACCTTGGACTTTTGGGACTCATAGGGCCGTTGGCGTCGTCCTTGTTCTTTGGCTTGCCCCGCATAGCCAGCGACAGTGTCGAGGACTTGGGCATCTTTCGTATTGTTTTGCGTGGAGGGTCGCAGGGCTACTGACTCCTTAGCACGGCTCCCTTAAAAAGCAATGGCTGCTGCCAAGCGTGCAGGTCGAGGGCCGCAATACCTCGATGGGTGTTGGTGGGACGAGGGCGCCGATGTGCAGGCAGTCGAGCGAGGGTGTGAAGAGACGGTGCGGCGCGTGTAGAGAAGAGAGCGGTGGCAGGCTCAGTGGTTGCGGCACATGGGCGGTTGCGCGGTCAACGAGTCTGTATTTCATGACTGTCAGCAGCGGACTCATAGCTGGCGCAGAGAGGTGAAAGCCAGCGGGCGGTATTAGACGGCGCGCGGGGTGGTACGAACCGTGAGAGCCTGGTCGGCGCTGGCTGCGGGCGTGCCTCGAAGCGTCGGCAGCGGGTGTCGAGTCTATATCACCGCCGGCAGGACGTTGCTCCCATGCAGCAAGCCGGGAGGACAGGCGATGCCGAGCGCGTGCTACGGCAGTCTTTGGCGGGCACAGAGGTCGTCGAGTATGGCGGTCGCGGGCAGGTGAGGCGGTCATGCAACGTCTGGGATGTGGTCAGCAAGCGCTGCGGAACGTGAAAGGGGCCGGCGGCGCTATGGCGAGTGTTGACGGTGGTACAACATGGCGAGGGCACGAGTGGCAGCGGCGAGCGAGGTGTCGCAGCGCCGTGGTTGGGCATTACTCACCCACTTTCACACACAGGACTCGAGGGTCGAGGGGTCTACGGGGCGCCGCGACGAGGGAGAGGCGCTGGGGTGAAGGGAGCGAGTGGAGCGTGGAGCGCAGGCTGGGCGGCCGTTGCTTCGAGTGCGGTGAGCGGCGCCTTGGTCAGCAAAAGGACACAATTCACGTGTCTCTGTGGTGAGTGCGATGGAGGGGCCCAAGGCACAGACAGGCTCTGCTGCAATCAAGAGCAAAGGGCACCAAGGGCTGCGAGAGGATGGCGGCAACGACTTCAGCACCGTGCACGGCCCCAGGTACAGTACGAGGGCGCGACGCTGCCACCACCTGCACCCCCCAATTCGGCCCACCAGCGCTATCGCAAACGGCTGTCCACGGCGGGCGTAGTGCCGTCTACCTAAGTAACATGCATGTGTGCTCACCGCCAGGCGACGGACTATCGACGGCAGACTATCGACGCTGCACAGGAGCACCCTCTGCATCGTCGTTGTTGCGAGTGCGAGGCTGTCGCGGCTGCCAGACCGAAATGCTTCATGTGCCAAGTCTCGTTTCAGAAATTATGAGACCCTGTCGGCGCCATCCATGCTGCCTCGACTAGACCCTCCCGCGCCGCCAGCTCCCACCAACTCCTCCCACATCTGACACCCGTCTAACATGTCTCTCGTTTCCGGGCCCGGGCGCGCTGCTGGGATGGCCAGCCTGCCCAGCGAGATGCACCTCTTCGTCGACAGGCACGTCGCCTACATCCAGAGCCTCGACACTGTGCGTAGCCCGTCCCCAGTCCCAGCGGCCGCGCAAGCTCCCGGCCATCCAATCCCGCGCTGACCCGCTGCAGCGCAAAGATGAGCTCGAGTACTGGCTCACCGAACATCTGCGCCTCAACGGCCTCTACTGGGGACTGACGGCCCTGCATCTCCTGGGCCGCCCAGACGCCCTTCCACGCGCTCCCATCCTCGACTTTGTCATCTCGTGTCTGCATGATAATGGCGGCCTCGGTGCTGCGCCGGGCCATGATGCCCATATGCTCTATACCGTTAGTGGCGTGCAGATACTCGCGACGCTTGACGCTTTCGGTGAGCTTGAGGAGCGCATCCCCGGCGCTCGTCTGAAAATTGCAAAATGTAAGTCATCTGCAGCTTCGCCGTGATAGTCTACTCATAAAGGTAGTCATCGCCGATTTGCAAGATCGCGAGACGGGCACCTTTGCAGGCGATGAGTGGGGCGAGCAGGATACCCGCTTTCTCTACGGCGCCCTAAATGCCCTGTCTCTCATGGGCCTGCTTGAACTCGTAGATGTCGACAAGGCCGCTCAATACGTCAACTCGTGCGCCAACTTTGACGGCGGATACGGTACCAGCCCCGGTGCCGAGTCGCACTCTGGTCAGGTGTTCACGTGTGTTGGCGCACTGACCATCGCGGGGAGACTCGACCTTGTCAACCAAGAAAAGTTGGGCGCCTGGCTAAGCGAACGACAACTCAAGAACGGAGGCCTCAACGGCCGGCCAGAGAAGAAGGAAGACGTCTGCTACAGCTGGTGGGTCATGAGCAGCATGGCCATGCTAGACAAGCTGCACTGGATAGACGGTCAGAAATTGACGAGCTTCATCCTGCAGTGCCAGGTGGGTAGTGTCTTCTCTTCAGCATCATCGCCATCTGACCATGAACGATAGGACCCGGATCTGGGTGGTCTCGCAGACCGACCTGGCGACATGGTCGACGTTTTCCACACCGTCTTTGGAATTGCTGGTCTCAGTCTGCTCAAGTATCCCGGTCTGGAAGAGGTAGACCCCGTGTAGTATGTGACCACTGCTCTCGCATCTCAACGCGTATACTGACCAACGCGCAGCTGCATGCCTCGCTCAGTGACCCGTAGATGCTTAGGTAAGTAAGCGAGAATGGCATCAACAAATGCTAGTTGTGTCGCATCGTGCTTGTATATTTCATGACCATTCACTTGCATTCGTATCTGTGTATGATCCGTCTAAAGCCTATTCTCTCGCTATCTAATACCTCGCGTCTCTCTCATAGGCGTCGAGACACAAAGCGGGAGGAAAGTGAGGGTGGCTTCCTCTTTCGTCAGTGCCGAGCCTCCACGTGCTCTGCCTGCTAGAACACCACCAGCAGACCTCTTCTTGCTGCAATCCCTCCACTGCGATACTGCACCTGCCTCTCTCCTCCTTACCCGTGCTGGCGCCTCTCCTGCTTTCCATTTATTCGCTCAGGAAATGGGCTAGGAGCTACCGCGGTGACCGGCAGCCATCTCTGTACTAGGTCTCTCATGAGCACCTCTCCCACCATCACTTCGCCTTCTCCACCTTCAGTCCGCTCCTTTCGCAACGCTCTTTGCTTTCACTACTGTGCTGCTCTTGTGCTTGTTTCACTTACGCTCCTTACAAACACCGCATCCACACTGCAGCTTTCGCCTGGATACAGTGCAGCCTCGTCAGGCTTTCGGCATGGCCAACATTCCGCTGCACTGCAACATTTGCCCCAAGAAGCCAAACTTCAGCGATGTCTCGCATCTACTCACCCACATCGCCAGCAAAGGCCACTTATCCAACTACTACAAGGTCAAGGTCCGCTCCACCAACGAGGATGCATCCCGCCGGCTCATTGAGACGTACGACCAGTGGTATGCCGAATGGGCTGTCGAAGAGCTCATGTCGGACCGGATGAACCAGAAGGACAAACGCCGTACCCGCGCGAGACCCTCTGGTACAGCTACCATCTGCATCTGATTGTACTTGAGACTGATACTGACTCCATCTGATGCAGCCCGGCCGACGCCTCCGGTCAAGATCGAGGCCCCCGCGCCACGTCCTCTACGTCGCGCCGCCGCAAGCACTCTCCTCGATCCACGCCTGTCGGAGCAGCAGCACACGATGATCAAGCTAGAGCAATCACCTTCTCCGACGCCGCAACCTCACGGCCCGGTCCTCCGCAATCGCAATACCTTCGCACCTCATATGCAGTACTGGCCTACAGAGTCTCGCGCCAGCTCTCGCAGCTATACAAACCCAGACTATGATACTTCCAGTGAATACTCCGATCCGAGCGAGCAGCGTCGGAGGTCATACCGGTACAACGCTGCGGCTTCGTGTGCCGTTGAAGATGAACCTGCTGAGGTCGCAGATCCGATGGCTGTCAGCGAGTCGACCAAACTCAAAGGTGTCTACTGGCCTGGCATGGACATCTTCGACTCTGCTACCCCAGAGATGCGGCGTAAGAGGAACCAAAAGAAGGACAGCTCTGTCGTCGAACAGCTGGAGCTCAACTCACAAGTAGTCGAAGCAACTGAGCTCATCTTCACACCGTTGGGATCTTTCAAACGCCAGCGCAGGATCTCTTGCTCGGAGTCTGACGAAGAGGATGAGGTCGAGATTAAGACTGAGAGCCCCCAGCCTGTACGTCGGCGACCTGCACTCGCCAGTCTTGATGCAAACACTACTCGCCGCTCTACTAGACAGTCCAAGCGGCCCGTGTTTCCTATTCTCAGCCGCAACCAATACGATGATGATCGCGGCCGTCCTGGCTACGACCATAGTCGCAACAACCGTGCTCCGAAGCGGAAGCAGTTCGACGTTTACCAAGACGAGGATGACGTTCCATTCTCGCAGCCCAATGGCATGAACTATCTTACATCGGGCTTCACTCACCAAGCATCTCCATCTCCTGCACCTGCATTCAACTCTTACAAACCCTTCAACGACCCATTCCAGTATGATAACAAGGAGAACGTTCTGCCTTCGTTCCACCAAACGGCTTATGGTAACTTTCATGGCCATCAGAACAATGCCTACCAGTATCCCACCTACTCCTATGGCATTGGGCCTGATCAACAGGCCTTCCAGTACACCAGTCATCTCTACAACACTGCAAGCGCGTACCAGCAACAGGACCAAGATGACGATGACCAACGTACCATCACAGCTCCACCTTCGCCGTCTACAAGCTAAGCGCTTGAAGACTGTGCCCTCTTTCCCTTCCCAACGCGACACCTACGCTCGGCTTCGCCGTGCTGTAGCAGATAGCCGACTGTTCACGCTCGTTCCATCTACCGACTTATGCATGCGACTTACTTTCCCGCGTTTCTTTCTGGTTCATATCTTTTACACGGTGATATATGATATACGCTGCAACGAGTAGCGACATGCGACATGATTTAATACGATATCTTCAGAGAGGCGCGCTATGGGGATCGCTGGACAGATACTCAGGCATGTTCTTCTTATCTCTATGCCACACCCTACTGTACACTTTGCTCGCAAGCATGGGACTGCTGGTTAGAAGCTGGTGGGCATGTATAGTATCGCTGTTTTCTCCCTTATATGTTTAATGCAGAGAGTTTGTTGTCTTCCGATCACGTAAAATCATAACTTCTAGATCTGATCCATGACTTCCACCGCCGCTCTAATACCCACCTGCAGTGTTCCTGTCTACACCATCCACCTCCATTTCACGCTTCCATAGCTTCCGCGCATCATAACATCATCTAGTCGTATGCCAATGTTCGTACCTTCCCCTTCTTACTCCCATTTCCCACTACCGCCCATGACCTTATTCCGTCGTACCTTCTCCAAATGCTCCACACTCTCATAGCCATTAATCCTCGCATACAGAACCCTCAACAACCCACCTACCACCCACATAATCACGCCACTCACAACGAACAACCCGATTCGCTGATTCGTCGTGAGCATCGCAAAGATGGGATAAGGGTAGAAGCCATTTTGCAAAAAGCAGATTTCCTAGAAGATGGTGTGTGTGGTTAGCTGAGTGTACTTGAGCGTTTTGAGAAAGTGGGTAATCTTACGATCCAGATCCAATATGTAAACGCAGTGATGGTGGAGAGAGCGAGGGTGATCATAGGCGCAGACTCATTCATCGGCGTGGTAGGCCATGGCGGCGAAAGCAAGATGTAATCTAATGCCAAGACGACAGCAGGGACGAGATGGAATCCTATATCGTAGATTGCTGGTGGTAGCGGTATTTCCCTATCATCCTCCTGTTAGCAAAAACGAACGTCACGGGAACAACACCAAATCTCGGATATCGAGGGTAGGGAAAGAGACGACATACGGCTGCACCAAAAGCTTCCCATCAATAGCCTTCAACGTCCAGTACAGAATGCTGATGGTGGCTTCAATCGGCGCTGCTACGAGCGCGAGGTAGTTCTTTAGCCGGAATAGGTGGTCTGAGAGGGCGACGGCTGGCGGGTTTGAAGGCAGCGTGGAAGAGGCGGAGAGGGCGGTGGAGGTCAGGTCTGCGATGAGGCCAAAGAGGAAGGTTATTGTTGAGAGGGAGAGGCCGATTATGGTTAGGAATTGGAGGTGCCAGCCGAATGATGAGTTCTGGGATTGTTTGTTAGAGCGTGGGTGGAAGGGTGGTGAGGATTGAGATTTTGTGTGCAACAACTATTATGGCATGTGAAGATATGTTTTCGAGAATGGTCTGTACATACAAAGACATTTGGGTTATCAATTAAGCTGGACTCATGTTAGCTGGTTGCAAAGTTGGCGGGATGCAGACATACAACTTGAAGGAACTGTAGAAGCTAATCAGACCAGCAACCTGTGATACAAATACTCGTCAACATTTGGCCTTGTCTAACGTTTTCCAAGGTTCTCTGTTACTTACGTGCAACGCACCCGAAAATCCCTTGGATGGAGAGTCAAATCGCTGAAGCGGATGCCGCCGGCTCGCCGTGGGCTCGACCTCGCCAGATTTCTTCGACGAAACAGCCATGTTGTGCGCCTCGAAAGCGGTTAAATGTACAAGAAATCAACACCTGGAAATGCCGAATTAGGTGGGATATCAGACGGTCGTCTTGCAGAGAAGTTTTGAGGCTGTAGAGGTATGCAATGCCCATCAGAAACACAACATGACGTATAGTTTTCTCAAAAAGCTTCACCTGGCACCACAGCGGCGCCAGCCAAGCCAACGTGGGTCCCCCTGCGACTGCCGTTTGAGCCTCGGAAGTTTGCCGCATCGAGATCTGACTCAGCAAGCAGCGCAACCAGCAACCAGCAACACCATCAGCAGTCTGTCATCGAACGTCCAGTGCGTTCAGCGACCTCACAAGTTTACTCATCACTCCTGCAATACAGACCCGTCCGTATTTAAACGACATCCCACGTATCATCTGACGTCTTGTGGATAAACTCCGTGCCTACCCTCACGGCTAAACTTCGGCGAAAGCGCTGCCGACGGCTCGCCAACGGGAAAGGTACGAATCAGAGCACGATCAGGCCGTCCGCCATGGCAAAACCTCGGCACGCTTACGAGTGCCACTACGGTAGATCTCGAGACGCGCCAATGATGCGCGAATGTGTTCCCCCAATTCTCCACAAGGAAGCGTCTCGAGATGCTCCGATGCGGTCGACTATGGTGTGCTTTTCCCGGAGAGACGGTCAGGATTCCCGTGTGGGATTGGAGGCGAGCGCGGAGGAGCGGCGTTGGAGTACTTATATCGAGGGTCGTGCGCGGTGGAGGGGGGGTTGTAGAGCGGTGATACCCTTTTTGTTGCAAGGTCCTTTTTGTTGAGTATATCTGTCACTACGGGCGCATAGACGGTAGCGCGTGATTCATCTCACACCTTTGTTGAGTTTTCTTGGGTGATTGCTCCTCTACGACATTGCTGAGAAGATGGGTTCAAAAGTTGAGACTGTCCTCCAGTCTCTGACGCTGGAAGAGAAGATATCGCTGCTTGCCGGGAAGGACTTTTGGGAAACTGTACCTGTACCGGATAAGGGCGTCCCTGCTATCAAGGTAGGACTTGGCTCTGTAACTTTGGACTTACTTCACAGTGACTGACGCGCAGTAGACTAGCGATGGACCGAACGGCGCACGTGGCGAAGTGTTCACAGGAGGAACACGAGCTGCATGTTTCCCTGCTGCCGTGTGTTCAGCCGCGACGTGGAATCCTGAGAACGCAAAGCATATAGGCCATGCGTTGGCTGAAGAGACTAAGACGAAGAGTGCGCGAGTGCTGTATGTCTGCTGATCTACGACGCACATATCAACTGCTAATGAAACCTCAGTCTGGCGCCCACCATGTGCAACCATAGACATCCCCTCGGTGGCCGCAACTTCGAATCCTTCTCCGAAGATCCGTATCTTGCTGGCAAGATGGCCGCCAATGTGGTCAGCGGGCTACAAGAGAAAGGCATCGCAGCGACCATCAAGCACTTTGTAGCCAACGAGCAGGAGACGGATCGCCTGAAGGTCAACGAGATTGTGTCTGAGCGTGCGCTGAGGGAAATCTACATGAAGCCCTTTGAGATCACTATCAAGGAAGCGAATCCCCTCGCTGTTATGACATCTTACAACAAAGTCAACGGAACACATGCGGATTCGAACGAGTTCCTCCTCAAGCAGGTCTTGCGTGGTGAATGGAGGTGGGAAGGACTTGTCATGAGCGACTGGGGTGGTACCAATTCCACGGCCGACTCGCTGAACGCTGGATTGGATCTAGAAATGCCTGGTCCGACGAGGTGGCGCAGTACCGATGCTGTCCTTGAGGCTGTCAAGAAGGGCCATGTCACCGAAGCCACCATCACTGAGCGAGCTAGAAATGTCCTGAATCTCATCGAGAAGGTCGGCGCGTTCGAGAACCCGGAGATTCCGCCTGAGCAGTCCATCGTCGACCCGAAGCATAGCAAACTCATTCGGGATGTTGCTGGACAGGGCATTACTCTACTAAAGAATGACGGCGTTCTGCCGCTCAGGAAAGAAGAGGTCAAGGGTAAGACGATCGGGCTGTTCGGTCTGGCTAAGGAGGCTCTGATCCATGGTGGCGGAAGTGCTTCGTTGAACGCCCACTACCGCATCACTCCCGAAGAAGGCCTCAAAGCTGCCTACGGAAACGACGTAGAATTCAAGTTCGCCAAGGGAGCCGCCACGTATCGACTCATCCCACCCCTATCAAAAGGCTGCAAAGATCTTGAGGGGAAAGACGGTTGGAAAATGGAACTCTTCAACCAGGGCAACACCAGTAAACCCATCAAGACAAAGCATGGCTACAAGGAAGCCGCGTTTTCTCCACTGCTCGAACAGAGTGCCAAGGACAGCGAAGTCAGGTTTAGCACCGTGTTTACTCCCAGCGAGTCTGGCTCACACTACCTGGGATGCTCAGGTAAGTCCTGGCTGTACGAAATGCACGTGAGACATATACTGACTTCGTACCTCTACCACTGCAGGCATCGGCCCCACCGTCGTCCACGTAAACGGCGAGCTCGTCTACGAGCAAAAGCACAACTCACCAGATGCCATGGGCTTCCTCTTCGGCGGCAACCCCGAAAAAGAGTTCCGCGTCCCATTCACAGCAGGCAAGCCCTGCGAAATCCAGGTCCACTCCAAGCCGCCCGCCGGCGACTCAAAAGGAGACATTCTCGCCGGTCTCCCCGGATTTAGACTAGGCTTCATGTATGCCTCCGAGCACGATCTCGACATGGCCGCGGAAGCCAAAGCCCTCGCAGAAGAATGCGACATAGCCATCGTTTTCACAGGCCACACCCCCGTCTGGGAAACCGAAGGCCAAGACCAAGTCGGCTTCCACCTGCCCCGCGAAGGCTCCCAGGACAAGCTCGTCGAAACAGTCGCATCCGTAAACCCGCGAACCATTGTCGTAAACTCGACCGGTGTAGCTGTCGCCCTTCCCTGGCTCGACAACGTCTCCGCACTCATTCAAGCCTGGTTCCCGGGTCAAGAAGCCGGAAACGCCATTGCTGATGTCATATCTGGTGCCGTGAACCCTTCTGGCCACTTACCCATTTCATGGCCTAAACGCATCGAAGACGCGCCTGCGCATGGCCATTTCCCTGGTACGCGCGACGAAACGGGGCAGCTTACTGTCAAGTACGAAGAAGGCGTTTTTGTGGGCTACAGACACTACGATCGTATCGCTGCGGATAAGATTCATTTCCCCTTTGGTTTCGGATTGTCGTACACGACGTTC